GTTCCATAGGCGTTTGAGTAATGCATTTCTTGTGCAGTGAACAAAAAATGTTAAGCTTTGCATTCATTAACAGCATAAATGCAACTTAAAACGTTTCTTAACAAAAAATACGAATGAAAAAATTTATGGCTTTTGTTTCTTGAATTACTGAATTATGTTGCTTTTAAGTTTGTAATGGATATTCTTTTTAAACTTAAAACAAACGTGATTAAATACCATATTTTATGAAGCATAATAGTTCTTGTGTTTTTGCATACAAAGTTCTTACATCTCTAATGATTTTAAATATACTTTCAATAATAGGGAAGTAATATATAATAAATTCATCTAAAGTAATCTCAGCATATGAAATATGAAAATGAAATTTATTTTTAAATTAATATTATTGCATCAATAGTAATGATAATATGGTTATTATTGTTAAGAGTAATATGCTGAAATACTATAGGTTACTAGGTGAATTGATAAATAACCGGCCAAAGTAAGAAGCATTTCTTTTGGAAACTTTTATTCTATGCTTCAATATAGCCCCCTTTCAGCTCGACACACTCAGTGCATCAATCTTTCAACATTTGGATACCTTTTAAATAAAACGATTTATCACAACCTCCAAAATATTCCTCAGTTTCTCATTTCACTTCATGATTTGATGCAAAACTCTTTCCATGGAGCCATCTTTTCATGACGCGAAACAGGTAATAGTCACTAGGAGCCAAATCTGGAGAATACGGTGGGTGAGGAAGCAAATCGTATAGTAATTCATTTAATTTTACCATAGTTTTCATTTACGTGTGAGCGAGTGCGTTATCCAACAAAAACAAAATTTTTTACGTCGACAAATGTGATCATTTTTTCTTGATTTTCTCATTCAATCGATCCAATAATATGCAGTAGTAGTCCGATCTTATTGTTTTTCCTTTTTTCAAATAGTCTATGAAAATTATTCCACTTGAATCCCAAAATACGAAAACGAAAACTTTTACAACCGATTGTTGAGTTTATGGTCAATCCACCAAGAAGGTATAAAGTAGCCAAATTGAATTGCAACCAATCTCAAACTGCTATATCTTTGAAAGTGATGGTAAAACTACGCTCAAATTTTGCCATAAACCCCATAATATAACAGTTTCGAAGAGTATAAGAGAAATTCTTTGGAAAAATTATTTCAAATGTAACTTAAACGTGGGAATATAATTGCGATATTCAATTATTACTTTTACTTTTAAAGCTCTCAAATTCTTCAATATAAATAAATGTCTCATATCATGAAATATACTAATACTATATTATAACGTCAGTGAAAATTTAATGAATTGTTCAGGCAGGGGTCAGAAACATATACCCATGTTTGAAAATGATAGTGGTGGAAGATAAATGGGTACTCAGGTAATGAAATCAAAAATTCATAAACACCTATTTAACGAATATTCAACAATAAGGCGCAGAAGTCAAACATCTGAACCTCCATATAGGATAATATTTCAGTTATATACAAAAAAATTTGGGGGCGTTGCAAACGATGAGATAATGATCAATAATAAAGAATCCACCGCAGAAACGGTTCACAGTGAAAGGAAAGAACTGCTGAGCTAAACATATTTAAAACTTGAAAACTGTCTTGCAATGAAGAAATGTAAAGTAAGCGTTTTTGCTGATATTATAAAACAAACATTACCGTCTACTCTGATGATAAAAATTTTACAAGTGCGTGATACATAAAGAAATAAAGCAATCGAGTCTATATAACAGAAAGATTACACGATAATGTAGGTATGAGAATATCTACAACAAATAAAGGATCACAATTTTTAATCCTGCATTGATGATAAATGATCACTGTCTGTTAATGTTTTTAACACGTAAGATGAAAGTTAATACAAATGAAAGTGAAATGACAACAAAAAAATTTTAGGAGATGCTTTAATGCTATATGAAACTAAACATTTCGGGGGAACAGACACGTTGTTTCAAAAATATTTTACACTATCAAATAAAGCACTCATCATCTAAGATTGGCTGAGAGACAAAGTTCCAGACTTCTTTACATCCACATAAGGCTCCATGCATACCAGACGCAAAACCTGTTACCCTCTAAACTATTTTGCAATCAAGTTTAGCATTGAAAAATATCAGTAGTCCAGTAATGTAATATTAATGTACTCAGAAAACACTTTTTCCATGAATGGGTGAATATTCTGTGAGTTCTTGATCGACTAAGAACAACAGTTCTTGATGAAGGCAGCCGTATCAGTTATTCAGAAATATGTAATCGTTTTCCAAGAATTTTGTTTAGTTAAATTAGTAAAATTCAAAACAAAGAATACTACTTTCTGAAAAATATAATTTCACACAACACATTCTGTACATCTGTGAACAACTACTGCTACCAAAAATTCTTCATTAAAACGATTTCTTGGATCAAAAGTTTTATATCATATCCCTCTCAATTATTTTCGTTTTTTTTTGTGTTTCAAAATTTGCCGGGCTTTAGGTCGTGTTTTTAAATTTATATTTTTATATAATAACTTATATTATGTTATAAAAAAAAAACAAACTTAAGAATAAATAAAAATATCACAAAAATATCATATATTTTATTAACAGATATTTCGGTCCATTTACAGTGTTAGTACAATTATACAAATACTGTCGTTTTTTTTTAAATCAATTCCGACGTTATTAAGCAAATCTAAAATTGCAGTTCAAAGGGGTCACCCTTTATATCTATGAAGGTTTGTTATCGCCAGACACGATTTATTAAAAAGGATGACTTCTATTTTGTGTGATATATTCGATTCTCTTCTATATTCTTCGATATATATATTCTTCATTCTTATTCTATATTCTAGATGCTTTATTCTCTTCGATCATGTTTTATTTTTTTATTATTATTTATTTCTTATTTATTATTTATTTTTTATCATTTATTTCGATTATTATTATATTCGATTATTTCTTGAAAAGAAAATATTTTTATATTTTAAACTGGATCTCGAATTTTTATTGATTTTTATTGAAGTTTGTTTAGCAATACATTTCGATTTATAAATTATGTTCATTATTATTATATTTTATAATATTTATTGTCTTTTCTAATTTTAAAATGATTATTATTATAAGCACAAGTGTTGTTAATCCACCCGCTTCAACCATAAACTATATCGTATATAAAATAAATCTAACAATCGTAAAGTACATTTGTTCAGTTGATTACAAAAGAAAGTAAAGAAAAAACTTATTTGTAATATGAAAACGCATGTGTGTAGGGGAATATTGTATTTTTCATTAAAAGTCAAACCCAAAAATGTCAAACACATGTTTCGAAAGGCGTACGTACATTTGAAGTAACCTATAATTTAGATACAATAGGAATGGAGATAGCATTTGAATAATCATCTGCCTGGTATGGTGAAATTAATGTACTGCGGCATATTGAGCATATTGAAGACATGCCCAAAATGTGAGAAAACAATACCAAATACATATATAAAAATAACATGCACGTGCCAGCTGTCATGTATAAATATTTTGAAAAATAATTCACAGGCTGCAGGCGCACCTAAAGAAAGAAAGATACATGCGAGCGAGAGTGCTGTTAACAGATAAAATCATATTAAACAAAAATACTACGGTTTATGTGAGACAGTAGAGCTGACTATATTAAAAATATATAAATATAGTTGAGAGAACTTAAAAAAAAAAAAGAAAAATTATGATAGAAGAGTGTGGGCCAAAGTACATGTAACGTGTAAACAATTACACTTCCGCTTTAAGCACACTGCACACCCACTAAAGCCGCTTCTGTCATTACGAGAGGAAATTAATTTTTCGAGCACCGGCAACGGTCATTTTAAGTACTCGTATATATATATAAGTAAAATTAAAACTTACTCAACTATGAAGTGGTGCTGAAATGATTTTGTTAATTTGTAACTCTTTCCCTTTGTCCATTTAATTTATCATCACATTTTTTTTTTTTTTGTCAAAGAAATACTTTGGCCCTTGACAAAAATATTACAATGACTTTGGTTAGGGTGCAGTCTGCACTTGGCACATGCAAAATAGGTATAAATGAAATACTCAAACCGGTGCTAGTGGAACTATATTTAATTTGGACAAATACAGGGCAACAACAGCGGTATCAGAAGCACCAGCAGCCGCAGCCGCATTTAGTGGCAGGTGCGGCAACATCATTGCGCCGCCAATTTACCCAATTACATTACAAAAAAAAAACAAAAAGGAAGAAACTTAAGTAAATAAAACAACAAAAGGCAGTAGCAGGCAGACAACTTAATGAGGTTGTGGCAAGAGCCCATAACTTTGCTTTAACACTGAAAGGAAAAAACAGTTTCATTGCAAAGAAGATAGTTTTACTAGATTTTGCTTATCTTTTTTACTCCCTTTTATGGGCCACATTTTAGCTTTAATTTAAATGCATTGCAGTTGGGTTGGTTCATTGCAGTTGGGCTGGTTCATTGCAGTTGGGCCGGTTCATTGCAGTCTCGTTACCAATACTTTAACATTCGCGCCATAAAATGTTATAAACTTACTTGTTTGTTTTAATAATTTTTTAGCGATTTCGTTTGAAATTTCTGTTTTTTTCATATTTTAAAATAATTGCTAAAGTTTTATTTATACAAATTTATACGTAAAAGTTTTAACTATAAAAGTAAAAGTTTCAGCGTTTTTATTCTATGTAAATTTTTTGATAAATAAACAAAGTTTTATTATTTCTGCAAACGCATAGACTTTTTAATAAAGTCATTGGACTAAAATATTTTTCACATTTTTTATAAAAGAATTTCATTGAAAATAATTTTTTTTGAATTGTAAAATATGTAAAAAATTACTATATTTACGTAAATTGTATACGAAGCCTACAAGTTGATTACGGTTTTATATTGTATAATTTAATGAATTATATTTAATAAATATGTATACAATGCATTTCAGTTGTCGAGCTACAAAATTATAAGGTTACATTTTTTTATGTTTCTTACCTCAACAATTTCTTCGCCTCATGTTAATGTTTTGTTGCAGTGAAAAGATAAATTTGTATGTTGAAGTAAATTTTTCTTTTTTTACTTATCTGAAAAATAAAATAAAAACTTTAGTTAATATTTTTGTTTTAATATGTAATACATGTATTTATTTTATTATTATGTTGAGCCTAACTCGGAGAGTTAGTACATCTGAGCACTTTTACGCTTTGATAGCTGCAAGGTTTCTGCAGAGTCACACCAATTTCACTGACTAATTTGTGTATTCCTCATAAGTTTCGTGATTATTCAATGACTGATCTAAGATCTGCGTACCGCTCGTGCGGTTAGTGATTACTCTGAGATTAGATAATGCTAAGTAGAGCAGCGTGTCGGCATTTGCATATAGCTTCAGCGTTCTGTCACTTATGTATTTTTTGACCGGATCTATTCTAATCATGACTGATTTATGATTTCTTTTTAAAATAAATACACAAAGTGAATTTGTTAATAAAACTTTCAAAGCAAATTAACAAAACTCCAAAAAAATGTGCGAACATAAAAGTCAAGTATGGCTCTGGGTCAGTTGGTTAAGAAGCACTGACTCTGAGCTTTAAATGTGGCAGAGCACGAGTTCAATTCCTATAACTTGCAGTCTCAACAAAAATTATTTAGAAATAATTAAATACAAGAACTATTTCCAAGACCATTGCTGATGGTTATTTGGCAATACTCGAAACAGCTGTATGGTCAGCCGAAAATTCAATTAATTAAAATAATATAAAAAAGAATTTTTGTTCTTGTAGTTCACTACTTTTCGAAACTTCGTTATTTATTTTAAAAAGTAACACTACATAAATCTTTATTTCGTTAATTAGCAAAGTTATTGTCAATTTCATTTAGAAATATTCAATAAATAAACCAATGAAAGAAAAAAAAATTTCGTTAATTATTTCTTAATCTACCTTATGGTAGTACATAAACGCACAACCAAAATACATAAGGGACAGAGCCCTGAAGTTATATGCGAAAATTGAGGCTATCCTACTTACCACTATCTAATGTTAGAGTAATCACTCTCCGCACGGGAAGGTACGCAGATCTTAGATCAATCACTGAATAATCATGAAGCTTATAGGCAATACATAAATTAGTCAATGAGATGGGTGGGACCCTGTAGTACCCCCAGTAACCAAAGAGTAAAAGTGCCCAGTTGCGCTGACTCGAAAAAAGGATCAACATATACCTAATGGTAAATTAAATTAACTTGTTTTTAATTATAAGATACATTTATCGCTACAACTGATGGAGTTACAACTAAGTTAGGCGATACGTATCGTAAGAACTTAAACGAACTTAAGCCAAAACGAGATACACAGGTGTGGTTGGTTGTGCATTTTGCCTTGACTTAAGTCCGCTTAACGTCTTACAGTACGTAACGACTAACAGAGCCTTTACTTCCAGATTCCAACGCCATGCTCTTTTTACAACAAATTACAACAAACAATAAATTTGATTTTTTAACTATTTGCATATAAATTTCATACATAAAATGACCATTATATATCATATTCATTTGGAAATACAATAGATGGACAATGGTAAATACTTAAGTCTAACTTTTGACAGATTATAAACTTGGTTAGAGTATATATGGGTCAAGAAACTGTATTATTTTACACTAATAAATTAATCTTTCCATTTTCACTAAAATTCTTTCCTATTTTTTTTTTATAAACTTTGTCTAATTTATATCTAATATATTTGGTTGGCACTGTAAAAAAAGATACTAAACTCTGCCATAAAAATAGAAATGCGGTGCACAAAGGATTGTAAAGTTACTCCACTTAACAGTCCAGTATGTGGTTTTTATATTAAGTTTTAATAAACTCTCTAACGCAGATATTTATTTAAAATTCCAGATAAAACCGCAAAATGGAAAACTCAAGAAAATAACTTCAGCATAAATGCGATACAAATGCCAATTGAACTCCACATAACTACAGAAATTACTTTCAAACGAGTAAATTCAATACAAGAAGAAATATTTATTCGTAATTTTATTGTTAAACAATTTTAAGGACTTCTACAATATTGAAACTCCTTTCAGTTTGGAATACAATTCTCTTTTGTGGAAAAGAAAAATGTCTACTTTGACCATTGATAATTGTTATTATTGTGAAATAAAATGAAATTTCTGTACATGAAAAGATTTACTAAAATTTTACTAAATACTTACTAAAAACAAATTTCTAATAATGGAAATCTTTTAAAGGATTTATATAGAAAATTTTCATTTGTAAGATTGCTTTAAAATATTTTCATTAAATTGGTAGACAAATATTTAAAATATATTTAATGTCGATGATTATTGTGAGTAAAGACAGAAAAAGAATGGAAACTTATGGCTATGAATTCCAGATGGGTGACAATGTTGATACTTGTATATATTATCTCCTTCGTTTGTCTGTGCATTCCTCGCAATCAAAAATTTATTCGTGGCACAATCTGAAATGTGTCTAGATAATAACATTTAAAATCTTTTTTGATCAGATGTCATGATCAGATCCAGTTTCAAAGTATCATATGCGAAGATTTTTTACCAGTGGTTTTCAACCTTTTTTTGACCAAGAACCTCTATGATATTTTTGTTTTTAATATAGACCACAAAGTTTATTTTTGACTGTTTTAATATGCTTTATGCATCTCTAGAAGAATATATAATCTAGTGTATAAGTGCATAGGTACATTATATGGGATAGAAAATATGTATATAATAATATAATTTTCTAAGTAAGGTCTTAGGCCAGCAACTACAAGCAGTGAATCCATATCTTTTTTTAACGGAATACTGGTTGGGAACCACTGCTTTATACATAAAGTAGGTATCTTTATGTGTATATTAAGTTTATGGTTTTGTTTAGTATCACATTATGTACTAACTTATTCCAAAATACCATAGCATACACTAATCAGATCTTGACAATACTACGACTGAACTCAACAAATTTCTAGTCCAGCTATTATCTGCAAAACTCCGTTATAAGTTTTGGATTGGAAGTTATTTACATTGGACTTAAAAAATTGAATGATCTGAACTATAGCATATAATTACGTATAATTAGATTTTTACCTTAGATACTTAAGATGTTCAATCATGAACACACTCAATTATCTTATACTATTTATTTAGGTTTTTGTCGAAATAAATGTTTTATTATGGTTATAATTTTATTGTAATTAGTGTTCATTTAGACACATACGCCGCAAAAAATGGTTGTCATCTCAGTGTAATTAGTTTTTATTTAGTTACATACGCCACAATAAAATACCTACTGTGGCGATGCATGGATATTAACCACAGAAATAGACTAAATATATCAGTACCTTAGAACTACTGAACTTATATAATAACATTTTATACAGAGTAAACAGGGTCTGTAAACATTTACAGATTTTAATTAGTTTTGAGCAAAAGCAATTCTGTAAGATTATATTAAATTGTTATAATAAAATTATAATAAAAATGTAGTAGATTGAAAACCAAATTAATATAAGTTTACTGCTTAATTGTTTTAGTTTACTTTTTATTAACATATTTCCTGAAATATATGTATACCTTTTAAATAAAAACCGGCTTTTAGTTTCACCTAAAACTAAAACTAGTTTTTTATCAATTCGAAGGCATTGGCATTTCTACATACGTATAAACTCTAGAAGAACAATCCTCAAATTAAGCTAGAGTTTATTAAAACCCTAAATATAAAGGGTTAAAAATCAAAACTATGATGTTAGACATAAGTAATAGATTTATACCGGTTGCTGATCATCTTATACGGCTACTTATGATAATATATCGACTTATACCACAATATTTTAATAGTGTGTATATTTTTCAATGTGTTTGATTTTAGTAAAATATTTTTAATTGAATTATTGTTTTAATTCAATCAAGCCAAATACATTCAATAAATAATTACTCTAAAGTTTTGTACTAAGATTTATATTCCAGATTATAATTAGCAAGTATATGATTATTGATATAAACCACTAATGGATTTTGCAGGTTAGTCGGATACGGAAACAACTCGGACGCCTCAAAGAAGAACGTTTCAAAACGCAGATAGTAAATCATTTGATGAACTAAGGTCAGTGACATATAGCAAAAATGTATTTATAAGAAGCTTCTAATAAGAGCATGGATCAATTAATAATATCTAAATATTAATTAAATTAAATATTAAATTAAATAATAATGGATTAAATAATAATAACTAAATATTAAAAAAATTTTAAATATAATTTTTTTAACTAAATTATAATTAAAAACCAACAAAATATTCTCTTAACAATTATAACAACAAAATTCTAAACACGTAATCTAATTTTCCTGAAGTTTACTAATTTTAACACTTTTGCCATTGCATCCTCACCGCAGCAATTGAACAAAGTTGCGATGCTGATTTGTGGTACGGATAAGCTTTAAAATCAATTTAATTAGAAGCCACATAGTAGGCTAATTAACATTGTGGAACCAGCAGTTGCAACTAAATCCAACAAAGAACCCAACATATACAAATTTAAATTGAATAGAAAATGTATTTGAATAAAAATTCTATTGCAAAGCAGCACATCAAATGTCAGGAACCGCAAGGCATGATTACAATTACAGCAATTTAAAGTGCCAAAGCAACTGAAATCAAACTCGAAGCATCAGTACAGGCAGTAAAATCCAATGACAGGTGCTGCACAGCCCAAGGATAGATTTTTATCTCTAATATAGAAGTTTACCTGCATGTACGATGCACCTTGCAATCTAACAAACCACAAATTATTGAATAGAACTGCTTTTCAACTCAAGTTAACTTCACGCTAAAACCACGTAAATTTCAAAGTTAAAAGATAAAGCAATTAAGTATAAATATAAATATAATATTGATTGATAAAAAAAAATATTAATATGTAAATAAATATTAAAATATTTAATATTTATTTTTTAATATTTATTTTTCAATAATAAAATATTTTTTCATCATTTTTCCAATAAGTAAGTTTTGTGTTTATAATAACTTAACTTTTCTCTAGTGTGAACAGTTT